TGTAGCCACTGCATAAAACATTTTGGTGGTTCCTTAGTAAGTTAAACATAGAACTGCTATACAACCTATCAGTTCTATTCTTAGGTATAGACTAAAAAGAAAACAGGTGCTCAAATAAAAACTTGCACGTGAATGTTCATAAGCAGCATCATTCACAATAACCAAAAAGTGGAAAGAATTCAAATATACATTAATGGATAAGTGGATAAATAAAATAGGATATATGCATACAGTAGATATTATTTGGCAATAAAAAGGAATGAAGTCCTGCTACAAGCTACAAGATGGATGAACCTTGAAAAATTATACTAAGTGAAAGAAGTCCAATGAGATGGCCACATACTGTAAGATTTCATTTATATAAAATATCCAGAATAGACAAATCCACAGAGACAGAAAACAGATCAGTGGTTGCGTGGGGTCGGGGAGGTGAGATTGGGGAGAACTGATTAATGGACACATGGTTTCCTTTTGGGTAATAAAAATAGTCTAGAATTTGATAGTGATGATGGCTGTACAGAACTGTGGATGTACCGAATGCCACTGAGTCATACACATCAAAATGGCTTAAATGTTGTTTCACACCATATGTACAAGAGTTTCTTTTAAAATTACCTTAAATGTGCCGTAAGACTCCCGCCGGACTAAGCCCTCAGACTCTGATAATTCCACCAAGGTGTCACCATTTCTACAACTGGACCCTAAATCTCGGCTGATCCTACACATTAAGAGAGCAACTGCTGTTTACCCGTGGGAGAATCCTTCCTGTAAAGGCATGCCTGCTTCTCGAAATGCATCTAAATTCCCTGCAAACGAGGGTTAGTTCATCTCAGCAGCCTCTGCTGCCCAGAGCATGGCATGGAGACCACAGCAGGGAGCGTGAGGCACAGATTCCAGGAGCTTTTTGAGCAGTGCTGGGGGCTACCTGGGGTCACCATAGGCACTTCCAACAGCTCCACTGGGGAGCTGAGGACCTTCTGGTCGCTGTTGGCCTCCGGGGGTGGCAAGAGGTGGGGGGGCGAGTGTTCCAGTGTTCCCAAACTACCCTGGACACTCTGCCCAGAAAAATGACTATATTGCTGCAGATGTGGCTTGGCAGAGGTTAGGCCAGCTGCCAGCTGGCCCAGAGTCCAGCTCTGTACTGTCTTCTAGTCACGTGGGACCCCTGAACTCCCCTCATTCTCTCCCTACCCCACCAAAGGCCCTTCCTGGCTGGTTGTCCAGGTGGAGGCCCTGGCTGCAGGCTGACATGGTTCCCCAGGCACTGCCCCATCGGTCACCCCTCCTTCCTTATCCTCACATTCGTGATCTCCACAAATACTCTCCTTTCATGAATGCTCAAATTCAGGCCAATCTCTCCTGGTTTAAAATATTCACTTTCTGCCGATCACTCCATCCCAGCCATCATTCTCCTCCCTCAATGTCATCTCTGATCTTGGTCAGTTACATTTCTGTTTCTTTGCTTCCAGGCTATGAGGCCAATGCCTTGTTTCATGACACAAGGATCCTCCCAGGCAGCTCCAATGTGTGAGCTGAAAACACCTGCTTTTATACGCTCTCTCAGCAGATAATTTGTGTCCAGGGATGGCAGAAGAGCCAAGGTGAGGGAAGGGAAGGGCGGTTCATTGTCCAGGACCGTTCATCACAATGCGATACAAAGCTCAAGGTTGCTGCCAGCCAGGCTGTTTCCCAAGTAGCTGGGGGTGGGGGGTGGGGGGTGCATGTCTACAGAGGCCTCCGATTTATGGGGCTTTAAGATCAAAACAAGGTCAGGGGAAAAATTGGCAGACTACTGTGAGTCCAAAGTGATTTCAACTAAAATAGGTAGAGAAGATAGAGATCATAGAAAAGGGAATTTCAGATTTAGTGTCTGATGTTCCAGGTCCTAAAAATAGGCAACCTCCCAGGCTGCAATTTTGGCTTTCTCTCTGCTTTGTCTTTTTTGGAACTCATTGTGCAGATGTTTCTGTGCTATATTTCTACCTGATGGCGGCAAAACCTCTATTTGGAGTCAACAGCTCACTTCAAATGCAGTATATCTCTGACTGAACTCATTCATTGATTCATTCCTTTGCCATGCTTCCCTTATCATTTCTAAACTTCTCAGCATCCTGGCTTCCCTATCCGTTCCATTTCCCACCCCAGCAGACCGTACCCCCAGCTGCCTGCCAATTCTCAGGATCTCTGCCTACTGGTTCTCTGGATTCCAATCTGCCCTAAACCCCCAATCCAAATTCTCTGAAGCCTGCCTCCAAGCTGTCTGTCCTTGCTACAAGCCTTTATTTTTGTGAAAACTGTATCTCATTTATTTTGCATCCAGTGTTTCTTACTATCTATTATGTGTTGGGCATTGTGTTAGGGGCTGGGATTGCAACAGTGAACAAGACTCTTGGGGCTCACAACCCAAAGAGATAATGGAGGAGATAATCATGAAGCTAAATTGCAAGGGTGAAAAGTGCTGTAATAGGAAGGGAGGCTGTGTGTGCCTTGGGCCACAAAAGGACCACAGACCTCAGACTTGGTGGGTCAGGGAAGGCCTCCAGTACTTGAAGGATCAATCTAGATTCCTTAGTAAGGGTTCAAGATTGCCCATACCGGGCCTATACCCTCTCCTCACATGTGCCAGGAAGCAGCCACAAAAGGCTCCTGCCTCTTTCCACACAGACCAACACCCTCCTAAACTTTTTCTTTTTTTCATTTTTCTTTCTCCCTGTTCCTTATCTCTATATGTCAAATTACTACTGAGCCTTCAAGAGCCACAGAAAGATCACCTCCTCCCTGAAGCCTTCCTTGATTTCTTTACTGCCCTAGTCTCTGTATATATGGCACATTGGAGCCGTCTGTATAGTTCTCTGTGCCTTTGAACTCTGGGGGCAGAGACCACATTCTGTTCGTTTCTGAAAGCCCCAAAAGACCTTCTTATCATCATACCCTGCACTGAGGTGAAGGTGATGATGAATTAAGGAAGATGCCCATGTACTAGTCTGGGAAAAGGTCAAGAGCTAATCATATTTATCTGTCTGTCCCAGGGAGCCTCAGCTTGCACCTTGTAGGTCCACAGCAAACCTCTCCTGACTGACTCTTTCTCCCTTGCACAATCTTAGACTGTGTTGAGACAGAATTAAAGCTCTTGCAAACATAACCAAGTCTTTCTCATATTTGATGAAGAAGAGCTCACTTTCATTCTGGGTTCATTGCTCTCTGCTATCCTTTTCAATTCATCCTTCTCTACTTCTTACCCGGCTGGCAAACCTTGCCCTTCTAATCCAGTTCTATTTGAATCGACTGCCGGCCCAGCCCACTGGACCTTCTCCCATCACCCTCCTTGCAGTTCGGCCCCTCACCTTGACTTTGTCTTGGAGAAAGTTTTAAAAGTTTGGTTTTCTCCAACCCCTTTAATCATACTCGATTATCTTGATCAGCACTTTTACTTTGCATTGTTAAGACATTCTGCCTTGAATTCTGACTTCATCGGGGGAGGGGGGAGAGTTGAAAGGAGGACTGTTGATGATGGCTATATTTTATCACGTGTGATGGTCATGGGTTAGACATGCAGCTTGTTGGGGGCCGGGTGTTGGGAGGGGGAGAAGGACACTAAATACCATAAGTCACAATGCAAAATATTTTTCAAGGAAACATCAAAGTCTTTTTCCATGGTGTCTTGCCTTGACCCCATTTCACACTGGCAGAACACAAACGCAAATTAAAATAAAAATACCAGGCTGGCTCCATGTAGCCAGTTGGGCCGTTGGACTAAGTGACCGATTTTATTGAAGTCACCAAATGCAAACATTCCAAGATTTATTTTCGTTGCTTATAATTTTTTTCTGCCTTTCCACTGGTGGGCTGTTTATTTCTAATACTTTGGTAGAAAAAAACATTCGCTCATACCAGTGGAGGTCTTATATGCCAAGCTGCAAACCAGAGTGCCTTTTATTGAGGAATAAAAACCCTGGAAAACAGGCTCTAGGGGGACCCAAGGACGGCAAATTTACAAGCATAGTACAATTGACGCCATTATAATTAGTTCCCCCCAAAAGTCTCATTTTAAGGGCAGAGATCTGAATCTTTCTCTTTGCACATGAATATCTCCGGACTAGAGCAAAAACATTACGAAGGGTGAGTCATAGACCCAGCTTTGGGCTTTAAAGACTAACGCAGATCCTATAAATCTAACCCACATTCTTTTACTGGGAATGACTGACTTTTATGAAAACCAAGGATTGTAAATCAGAAACCTAAATAGCTTACTTTGCAGCAGATAAACACAGATTTATGTAGTGGCGGAGCCCTAACTTAACCCTTTCATGGTGCCACAGAGGACCTGGGGCTATGTGTTCAGTGGCAGTTGCTTATATCCAGCTCCAGTATTTCTTCCTAAAAGCTGCAGGGCTAGACAGGTCGGGTTATCTCCAGCAGATGGAGGTGGGCGACAGGAGAAGCCCATCAAGCGTGCTTGCTACTAGCCCATCTCAGCTGGGTGCACATCAAGTCACCAGGAGGAGTTGGCCCCTGGTTATTCCAAAGGACAGTCCCCAGCCTATTGCGTGCATACACGCCAAAGCTAACCTAGAAGGTGCTTGTATGGGAAGCTGATCCAGCCTGGGCTTCTAATCCCTACACGTGTGACCTCTGGCAAGGCACCAGTTTCTCCCTGGACCTCAACCTTTTCATCTGCAAAATGGTACACCTGGCATGTTGTAAGAGTTAAACAGGACAATCATATCAGGTGCTTGAAAAGATGCTGGCTCATGATAAGCACTCAGCACACATCAGCCAAGATTGTTACTATCATTACCAGAGCCACTAGTTACGCAGACCAGATTTCTCAAACTCTAATGTGCACATAAGTCACCTGGGGAATCTAATCAAAGCGCATACTCTGACCCAGTGCGCCTGGGATTCTACATTTCTAACAAGTTCCCAGATGAGGCTGATGCTTCTGGTCCAGGCACCCGGCTCTGGGTAGTGGAGGCGACAGAATTTGGAATTTACAAACCATGCCCACATCCTTTCTCATTCAACTCTCATTTGCAAGCTTTGACCTGTGTCGAAGCATCCTTCTTGCGGCAGATGCTGTTAACTCCATCCACGTGATCCTCGCCAAAGAAGTCCTTCCAAATCCTCCCCTGCTCTCAGTGCATTGGGCCGGCCAGCGGGGGGCGCTGGCCCCCCTGCGCCCCTCGCCCCATCCCCTCGCCCCAGAGCCTCGTGCTTATCTCTTCGGACGGCAGCCCGCAGCCCAAGCCAGCCCCTCGCTCACGAGTTTAAGCGGGGCACGCCCTGTACGGCCCACGCAGACTTTAAAGGCAAACAGGACCAGTCGATCCGATCGAGGGAGGAAAGGGCATCTATCATTTTTATGTGGCATTTCAAAGGAGGAGGCTCCGAGGCGGCTGGAGACAAAGGCCGGCGGCGAGGTTAATGGAGAACCCGGATTTAATCATTAACGCTTAATACTAAAGCAGCCCGGAGAGGCCCGCCTAGGTGCCTGTGGAGGCGCCGGGGAAGCTCTGGCTCAGCCTTTGGGGGTTGGGAGGGGGATTGGGAGGGGGATTGGGAGATCTTCCTGGGCTTGACTGTGTGGATCAGCTTCCGTGGGTGAGGTTGGGATCCTGGGCTCACCCTTGTAGACCAAGCTTTGGGTGGAAGAGCGGGCAGATTCATCCTGTTGGTTCCCAGGGGCCCCTGAAAATCTAGGGAGAATGGGGGACGCCTAGGTGGTCCCAAATTAAGGACCTGGATCTTTTCCCCAGGATCACCTTGAGCCGGGAAGGTAAAGGCATTGGCTTCCATTCTAGACTAGACCTGAGATCTGGATGGGTACACAGCCCAGAGCCAAACACCGGCGGTGAGGGCCCTGCCAGTCCAGCACCCACCTGGCTCATCCTCAGCACCGAGGCCTTGGACTGGGACATCTACTGGTCCCCCATTGCCCATCCTCTTGCCAGCCCACATGTTCCAACCCTGCAACTGACTCTGCCGCACCCCCCAACCCGCCCCCCACCCCCCCCAACCTCCAACTCTCTACACTTAGCTCATTTTAATCATTTACCTGGGGCTGGGAACAAGTCACCTCCTTCAAGTTTTCCCAAGTGCTTGGACAGCCTTGAAATCCCACAGTGAGAAAGTCATTCTCCCTGAAACTTTCTGATGAGGAGGAAGAGGACTTTGACCCCTCTTGGGCACTTGTGACTCCCTCTTGACTATCCCAGCAGAAGCTGTAGCAGACCTTGGCTTCTCCCCAGGATTTAATAAATGGCATCTTACGGTTTTTCCAGTAGTCACGTATGGATGTGAGAGAGTTGGACCATAAAGAAAGCTGCGCATTGAAGAACTGATGCTTTTGAACTGTGGTGTTGGAGAAGACTCTTGAGAGTCCCTTGGACTGCAAGGAGATCCAACCAGTCCATCCTAAAGGAGATCAGTCCTGATTATTCATTGGAAGGACTGATGCTGAAGCTGAAACTCCTGTACTTTGGTCACCTGATGCAAAGAACTGACTCATTGGAAAAGACCCTGATGCTGAGAAAGATTGAAGGCAGGAGGAGAAGGGACGACAGAAGATGAGATGGTTGGATGGCATCACTGACTTGATGGACATGAGTTTGAGTAAGCTCCGGGAGCTGGTAATGGACAGGGAGGCCTGGTGTGCTGCAGTCCATGGGGTCACAAAGAGTTGGACACAGCTGAGCAACTGAACTGAACTGATCTTATCTTCACTGTGTTTCTACTTATTTTTAACATTTTAAAAAATATTGACATTTAGTACTACAACAGATTTCATGTTGGATGTTAAACTGGGTGAATTAGATCAAACTGAAAAGTCTGTAAGGCCAACAGTCAGATCAAAAAACAGAATCTGGCAATTTTGAATTCAAAAACAGAATTTCCTGTGCTCCCAGACCCTGATACTGGCAATGATTGAGGGCAGGAGGAGAAGGGGACAACAGAGGATGAGATGGTTGGATGGCATCAACGACTCCATGGAAATGAGTTTGAGCAAGCTCTGTGGAAGACGGGGGACAGCTGGAGAGCTGAAGTCCACTGGGTCACAAAGAGTTGGAAACGACTTAGCGACTGAACAACAGAAGCCTCCTCTGCCCGTCCCTGTCTAATCACTACCCACCCCTTCCCAAAGTGTGGCCACTCTCCTGACTTCTGATCACGCATGTTAGATTTGCCTGATTTTTTCCATCTGTCAATAAATGCAATTTCCTGGGCCCGCCTTCTTTCACTCAGCGTTCTGTTTGTGAGATTCATTCATGGAGTTTCTGACCCTGTTCCCCATGCCCAGATTGGGTCAGTTTTAAACCCTGTCATATAGGAGCTTATATATATAACCTGCCAACGCATTTGGCTTTCAGCTGTCTTGAAGGCCAGGCACCATGGTCCCCACTCAGAGCTCCCTACTGTGTCTGGAAGGACACTGGGGCCTGTGGAGCACCTGTGTGTGTGGGTTCTGCGACCTCTGCCATGGCCTTTCTACGGCAGAAGGGACTGAGCCCGCTCCAGGGCTCCCGGGACACACTGCTGACCTTTCCCACCTCCCTGTGGGAAAATTCCGAAGGAAGAGATAAGATCAGTGTAGTTAGGGCCTTGCAGGGGGCCCACATTCCTGGGGAGCAGGATAGAGGGAAATAGTTCAGACCTGGCTTAAGCCGAGTGCCCCCCCAAGGCTCTCTATCTGGAGTTTCTGTGACTTCTGCTCTAGTTTCTCTGCTGAAGGGGAGACCCTCCTGGAAACAGCACCCGGCCAGAATCTCCAGGGGGCTGGCAGCAAAGGCTCCCTGCCCGAGAGAAACCTGAGCCCCTGCCCTGGGCCAGATTAGGTATAGATTTCCACCTTTGTCTCCCCAGAGGGAAAATGTCACTCGCAAACCCTCGGTGGGAGGTGATGGTGGGAGGTGATACTGACTTGTTTACCTTCAGATAGCAGCTTGAGAGCCTGTTGACTTGTTAATCATGGAGATCTGATCGCCCAGCAGTTGGCGGCTCATACTTAGGAGGCTGAGAAGAAAGGCCTCTGGGCTCTCCTGACAAACCCAAGCTGCAATCCCAGCCCCCTGTCCTTTCTGTGGCTGCATGACCTCCCTTAACCCCTCCCAACCTTAGTTTCCGGGTGTGCGTGGTGGAGGTAGTAATATACCCCTCAGAGGGCAGTGGTGGGGAAGCATAGGAGCCAGCCCAGCATTTAGCTTCAAAGATCAGTAAGTGGTGGGGTGGGGGGAAGAAAGGAGTCCTAACTTTGAACCCAGTTACTTGATTTTTAACCCTTTTTCTGGGTATTTCTCCATTTAAGTTCAGTTTTTTTTTTTCCTTTGAACAGGAGAGATGTATGAGAGCAAGAGGTGGAGCCTTGCTTGTTACTCCAAGGGTGCCTCTGATTGGTGTAGGATCTCGGGTTCCCTGGCAGCTTGATCCTCTGGGGGCTTCTTTCTTTCCAGTTCAGGGGTCTCTGAGAGGAGCTGGGCTGTTTCCAAAGGGCCGTCTTAGCATCCTCAGCAGAGGCTGCAAAGCGGGATGCTGGCAAAGGTTCTGAAGGATACAGCCTTTGCCACTCTGGAAGCCTTACTCCCTACCCACTAGGGGCCTCCCATTCTACTCTGCAACATTGTTCAGCACTTCAGGTCTTAAGGATGTCCATGTAGATGGCAGTATTATTCATAACAGCCAAGAGGTGGAAGCAACCCAAGTGTTCATCGAGGGATGAAGGGATAAACAGAAGTGATATATTCATACGATGGAATATTACTAAGTCCTAAAAAGGAGTGAAATCCTGACATAGGCAGATGGTATGTGGATGAAGTTTGAGGTTTGTTGTTGTTTAGTTGCTAAGTCACGTCTGACTCTCTTGCAACCCCATGGATTGTAGCAAGCCAGACTCCTCCGTCCTTGGGATTTCCCAGGCAAGAATACTGGAGTGGGTTGCCATTTCCTTCTCCAGGGGATCTTCCTGACCCAGGGATGGAACCCACGTCTCCTGCACTGGCAGGCAAATTCTTAACCACTCAGACACCAGGGAACTGGAAGCTTGAAGACATAATGCTAAGTCTCAAAACCACAAAGCTAAATAATTCCACTTACATGAGGAACCAGAATAGTGAAATTCATAGAAGCAGAACATAAAATGGCAACTAATTACCAGGGGCAGGAGCGGGGGTGGTGGTGGGGTAGGGGAGTGGGGGTGAGGGTAGGAGTGGAAGTTGTCTGAGTGTTAAAATGGAAAATTCCACATCTCGGGAACATCCTCGATCTTTGACCAACAGGAGCAACGGCTCATCTTATTCAAATTGCTTTCTCTTCTGCTGCTCTGGTTACTTCCCACCTCATCCAAACTAATAACTGAGCAGAGGCTGTGCTAAACACATTTGCTACATAACTTCCCCAACCATCCCATGAGATAAGTATCGCTGTTATTGAAACCAACACACTTTATTGTTCTTATCCTAAACAATACAGAGACAAAGCATGCTAAAAGAGAACTGTGACTGTGCAAAATAATTTAACTCCTGGCTCCAGGAAATACTTGCCCGAGTCCATAAAGACCCAAATGAACCATGACTATTCAGTTCTATACCCAGCCTATGACCACTGAGCTAGCGGTGGGTCCCGCAGCCTCGTATAAGCCCCTCCCTGAGGGGAGTAGGTACCCCCAGGCACAGCCCACCCCCTCTGACTTCCATGTCTCTCCCAGGGCCTGGGGTGTGGCTGCCATGTCTGCCTTGACGAGGAGAGGGGCTGAATGAAAGCGGCTGGGTTAGAGTCGCCATGCTACCAATCCTGATAGGTCACTGAACCTCTATGTTGATTCCACATCTCTAAAGTGAAGCAGCTCTACTCAGTGCCCTGACTGACAGCATTCTAGACGGTCAAAAAGAGTGCATAGCAAAGGCTTGGCAAACCGTCAAGTGCCACACAGACAAGGGAGCTGGTGTCAACCTTACATTCTTAATAGCTCAGCTGGTTTGCAAGCCTGGTTTTTTAACTGCAACATGCTTTTCATTCACTTAGAAAATTTACAAACAATTAAATGCATATTTTTGGTGTAGTCATGTAGCTACTTTCATGATCAAGATACAGAATGGGTGTAACACCTTAAAATATTTTCTCGGCTTTCTCTATTATAACCAACCCCTCTCCCCACTCCCAACTTCTGACAACCACTGGTCTGTCCTATTTCTTTAATTTTGCCTTTTCTTCAATGTTACATAAATGAAATCACATAGTGTGATTATATGTTACAGAAATGGATGTTATGTGAATGGAGTCTCAAATTATGTGTAGGCATTTAAGTCTGGCTCCTTCCTCTTGTTGTTCAGATGTGTGTGACTCTTTCTGATCCCATGGACTGCAGCACACCAGGCTTCCCTGTCCTTCACTATCTCCTGGAGTTTTCTCAAGTTCATGTCCATTGAGTTGCTGATGCCATCCAACTATCTCATCCTCT